TGTCTTTGTAAGACACTCCAGGATTTTGCTTGTTGTACCTGGAGTGCTTTTCCATGCACACAACACAGATATGATTAGATAAGATATGATTAGAAATGATCGAAAAATGGGTACAGCGGTCTGGTAGGGTTAATCTAAAGGAGTCATTGATTTTGATACATGGGTAATATTTTTATTGCCAGAATGTGAGGTTTAATATTGGATTATCAGAAAAAGTCATCAGGCATTTTTGCAACGAAAAACATAGAAAAAATACGTCATGACTTCCAACAACCCAATATTTAGAGTCTTATCTAAAAATAATGTAGAATTTATCGGAAGATACTTTATTCAACCCTTGGTTCAACATTTAATATCTTTAAAAAGTATTTTATAAATAGATGCTGAACTCTGCATTCTGCGAGAGTATATCATAAGAGGAAGACACTTGTTTTAAGATTCTAATTGTTAATATGTCACATTTTAAAATCAATTAAATAAGTTGTGAATTTTATCTGAGGGAGGAAAACCTGAAATAGATGGTAATTTTTTGATAATTATACATACTTTTAGCTAAGCCTAAAGTGATAGTACTTTGGAATACAATTGAACAAAATACCTAGTGTGTTATAATGAACTGTTCTCGTACAGGAAATAGAAGAACAGGAGAAAATGTTCAAAGAGAAGGTGCCTACAACGGAAGCCCCTGAATTGGGTGTTAACGGGGCGGAGGCCTTAGAATGGAGGCGAGTAAGCGATTCTGGCCTGCTAGAGACGATGCTGTCTCACATGGACTCGCTTCACACGTCCAACTCGAATAGTTCGGGTAAATATTTACAAATCCTTTTCCATTTGAAAAAAATTATCCTATAGTAAGGTATTTCATTTGCCGCAATTTAAAATTGTAGCTTTCTTCTTCAAATAATTCCATGTCCAACCCGCAGCCATTGGCCAGCTGCTTAGTAACTAGTGAACAAATAATAGCAGTAGATCAAAGACGGGAGCAGGTGTTCATGAGAAAAGCCACCTTAACAAAGGAAATATCAGGAAACTTGACCTAGAGTCCAGGCTTTGTTCCTTCATGCAGCAGGTGACTTGCTTCAAAGGAAAGCACAGGTTGCTATCTCCAGAGTGATCTTGAATTACTCCATGTAATTCCTCAGTCCCTGTAAGAGCTTATCTTCACGTCATCAGTTATCCCGAGATGCTGTCCGTGTTGAAAAGATCCACCTGGTGCCTAAGCTTCAATTCCATAAATATTTCAAGTCTGCCTGTGGATCAGGTTCAGAGGCAGTTGTTATTCGTAATGATTGTCAGAAGTGTTCATTTGGGTGTTTTGCATATTCTGCTTATGTGACATCGAGTATAATACTATGTGTCTATTTCCCCAGCTTTCACAAATTCTGCCCTACAACATAGCTTTGGCTCTGTGAATGAAGCACCATTCTACCTCTGGGGATCATCAACCGGTGGCTTGGCCAAACTCCTAGTAACAAGGCCTTCTGGAAGGGCCATCACTAAATGGTCTCAGGTGGGCAAACTTAACGATGTATAACATATGTGTCTGTCCCTCTTCTGTCTGTCAGTCTGTCTATTATTTAGCTATCTTTCTGTATTTTTAAAAGAGCTACATTTTCTTAGGTTGTACAAATGAGCACGAATATTCTTGCCATACATCAAGTAGCTTATTAGCTTTTATTAGAGATGAAACTACACAGAACAGACATATTTAGAAGAACTTAGTTCGTTGTAATAGATTAAGAAAAACAATCTTGAGTATAATGCTTAGATTCTTAAAACACTGTGTGTATCTCATTTCTTCTAGGCTTTCAGTCCGGAAGTACAAGCAAAATTTAATAAAATAACTGCTGTGGCAAAAGGATTTCTTACTCGTAGGCTCATGCAGACAGATAAACTGAAGCAACTTCAACAAACTGTGAAAGTAAGATTGTTGTAAATCATTTGTATTTCACTCTCTCAGTTTTTATCAGTCTTGTGACAGCTGGGTTGACAAATTAGTTCAGAACTTGGGCAGATCAAACATTTTTTAGTTACTGTAACAGGCAGTTTTAGAAATCTGATTATTAATCTCATTCAGATAATTTTTAAAAATACATAAGTGAAGTAGCTTGTGTATTTTCATCTTACTTTAAATGAAGAGCTATTTGACTTCTAATAAGTAACAGTTTTGTGTTCTTAGTAATTTTGGGGGGTTTTTTTGGTGTTTTTTTTTTTAAATTTTACTGGGACACAGCCATGGGCACTGGTTACACATTGCTTTCATGCTACAATGACATAGTCGACTCTTTTAGGGAGGGCGCAGCTCACAGTGGCCCATGCGGGGATCGAATCAGCAACCTTGGTGTTATCAGCCCCATGCTCTAACCAACTGAGCTAACTGGTCACCCCAAGTAATTTTGGATTGACTGAAGAAAAAAACCAAAAAGGAACTCCAGTGATCATGAATCTTTCTAGAAAAATAGTTGCTGAAGGAGCATTTTTTTTCTTTGAGGACACTATGGAATTCCTCAGAAGTTTTCAGTCTGAAGGACCATTAAAGAGAGGGGCTGTTTCCGCGCAGGACGCTTCTCTTCAGGACAGGGTGTTGGCTCAGGTAAGGTTGCAGGTCCTGAGGCTTTGGGAAATGGCATGTTTTATGTCTCTCACTCACCCACAGTTTTTCAATGGGTACAATGTGTTTTTCCTTTGAACCTAGTTGCGAGCTGCCCTCTACGGTATTCATGACATATTCTTTGTGATGGATGCAGCTGAAAGAATGTCTATTCTACGTCACGACCGAGAAGCTCGCAAGGAGAAAATGCTCAGGCAAATGGTACGTTATCTGAGCTTTTCATTAATGAGTGAAAACAATTTCTTCTCCAGTCACAAAGTACTTCTGCCATCAGATGTGTGGGTTTTTCCCCCACACCAACCGGTTCTTTGACACAGGCTGGATATCTTACTTAACTCAGTTCTGAGACTGCCTGCCTGGAGTTATCAGATACTGCAAGGTAACGAGGCAGTTCAGACCGCCCCCACCTCAGACACTAATTGCAAGTCCCAGGTTGTCACTTGTACTTCTGACTGATGGCTCTAAATCAAGGTTCCCATGGTCCCTCCTTGTGGTCAGTGATTTTCTAGGGTGGCTCTCAGAACTCAGGGACACACTTCCTTGCAGTTACTGGTTTATTATAGAATAAAGGAGTAGCCAGCCAGATGAAGGGACGCGTAGGGCGAGGTCTGGAAGCGTCCTGAGAGCCGGAGCTTGGGGCCATCTTCCCGGCTCATGCATGTGTGCACTAACCTGGAAGCTCTCTGAACTGAAGGGATTTTTATGGAGACTTCATCATGTAGACATGATCAATTATTCGCTCAGTTTTTAGCCCATTTCCTGTCTCTGGAGGATAGGGGATGAGGCTGAACATTTCAAGCTGCTAATCATACTTGGCCTTTCTGATAACAAGCCGCCTTCCATGGGTCCACCCAGAGTCACCTCATTGGAACACTCGTATCACCCAGAAAATTCCAGTGGTTTAGGAGCTCTGTGTCAGGAACCAGTGTCAAAGACCAAACAGTAGAACAAAAGATGCTTCTACCAACCGTATCACTCAGACAACAAGGGTTTTAGGAGCTTTGCTCTGTGTTAGGAACTTGGGCCAAAAACCGAATATTAGCAGGAACCAGGGGCAGAAACATACACACACACACACACACACACACACACACACACACACACACACACATATTCCTTTGTATCTCACAGTGAGGTTCTTCTCTGTTGACGTCATCACCCTTCCTACAGTTCTTAAGCACAGGGAATTCCCAGGATTACCAGGAACATTTAAATCTGTAGGTGGATTTAAAAGAAATTAGTGAAAGAATTCCTTCCTACAGTTCTTAAGCACAGGGAATTCCCAGGATTACCAGGAACATTTAAATCTATAGGTGGATTTAAAAGAAATTAGTGAAAGAATTACCCCTGGTTTTGCGACTGGATTTTGGAGCTGAAGCTTTGAATGTTGCTTGGATGGCTTATAGAAAACTATCATTTGCTCCCGGTGGAATTTTCTTAAAACTGTCACGTGGCTTTTGCCTCTTTTGGAAATCAGAGTAAGAAAACATGCTCCAAGTTCATTTGAAATAGATCAATATTGGAGATGTGTGGTTTAAATCAATGATCTTAGTGTGGTTGGCAAAAGAAAAACAAGCAAATTTCATATTTCATTGGGAAAATAATTTCAGTTTTTAAAAATCAGACGGCTTCAGTTATAAAGACAAAGTTAAAGTTCAAAATGCTAGCAAGAGATGCTCGCCCGCGCCATTGGAGATCATCCTGTGCTTAGTGGTATTACGGGGTCTGCTAGAGCTTTACCTTACTTTTGTGTTTAAAGGATAAAATGAAGAGTCCGCGTGTGGCTCTTTCAGCTGCAACACAGAAGTCTCTTGACAGGAAGAAGTACATGAAGTAAGTTTTTGTTGTGTCATGTTACATTCATTTAATTATTATCAAACCAATTAATTTTAGTTATTGGTTGGTGTGTTTGTACACTCATATTAGAAATAAGGAACAGTTCACTTTTCTGCAGCTGAACTGATAGAAATCCCCTTTTAAAACAAGTTTTATTAAAATGAGGTGGTAAAATCTGATTTCATCTTCAGATAAATGTATTAACTACTAAATTTGGCAGTGTTCAACTTGTATAATTGGTAGCCAATCAAACAATCTTAAACATAGTTCATCCTTTATATTCAGTGTTAATTTTATATCTGTTAAATATATTCTTTTTCTAATATCCTAAAGACTTCATGGGAGGAGAAACTTAACGCAAAGAATATTTTAATCACGATCTTATTCAAACCCTTGTTCCTTGACAGTAGTTTTTAGTATGCTTACCATAGATCTTTCAGTGATATGCCAACATTTAAATGACGATTTGTTTCTGCCATCCTATATCACATTTGTAAACATGTTTTTCTCCCTTTCTAAATACATTGTTTATATGTCCTTATTTTTATACTGTGCTAGAGCTGCTGAAATGGGAATGCCAAATAAGAAATTTCTGGTTAAACAAAATCCTTCTGAAACAAGGTAAGAAAAATCACTTAGTCTCAGTGAGAGACATTTTTTTTTTCCCCCAAAGGAAAGAAAATGTTATAAATCCTGAGCTTGCTTTTTGCTGGCTCTGATCCACGTTCCATCAGTAAGACTCCCAGTTCAGTTGGAGGATCGCAGAGTCAGAATCCATATTAACACCTGGTCCTGTACCTGGTCACATGTCAGGTCTGGAGTGTTCGGTGGGACATGCTGTCTCTGGTGGAAATTTGAGCCCCATATGTCCTGAGTTCAGCCCACAATCCAGGGTGGGTCTTTGATACTTATTTAAAAACCTTAGAAAGCTAGCTTAATATTTCTGACCTGTTTTCTACTCTTATAAGAGTGAAGTTTCTTCTCTCAGATGTTCGAAAGGAAATTGGCTTTTGGAAAGTATATAAATAAATTATCTAAAAGCAGAGGGATTAATACTTATGTTGGACATCTCTTTCCTGACAAAACCCTAAGGTTTGGGCTCTTGTTGAACACAATATACGACTGTATTAATCTGCTTTAAGCATTTTGCTTTGTGTTGCACTACGATATCGGCCATAGCATTGTATAGATGGCTCCCACACCTCACTGTTACCATCTTTCATCTATTGAAAGAAATTGAGGGGAAGAAGGAATTTATCCTGTTGAATTAAGTTTTTGTTTACTTTGACAGCAGAGTCCTTCAGCCAAACCAAGGACAGAACGCTCCTGTTCACAGGCTGCTTAGCAGGCAAGGGTAAGCACGTGACACACACGGGCATTAAAACATATTCAAACCGAGATTAGCTTTGAGGGGAAAATCATTTAGTGCTCTTTATATAAAGGAGAACTATTTTCCAGATGTGATATTTTTTATAATATCAAAATCTTTTAAAGTTCTGTGTTCAGAGATAACCCTTTGGTGTTTTGTTGTGTATTATATTTTAATTATCTTCTGTTGGCATGTTTTTCCTCTTCATTTCATACCATTTGGCTCATTATGTATCGTAAGCATCTGTATAGTAAGTTCAGCATCACCAAAGTGATTCTTCAGCAAAGCGGGAGCTGTGCTTTCTAGTCTCCTGCTGAAGCCAAAGTACAGCTTCCTTATATGAGCATGTAGAAGACTGAAGTTCTTTTCAAATTTATTTTGCTAAGAACAGTTGATGCAGAACGGTTGCTTTCTTTGAATGTTGAACATTTAGACCTTAATGCAAGTGACTTATTACTTTTTTTATATTCAATTAGAACCCCTAAGACAGCAGTGAAGGGGGTTGTGCAAAATAGACAGAAGTCTTCACAGAGCAGAGTGCCTAACAGAGCGCCTGTGTCAGGTGTGTAGCCACGAGTCCCTGAAGCCCATTCGAAAGAAAGACGTGCACAAGCTGCCCCGTCACACAGGCCACACATGTGGGGCCTGTTGTCTGTCCTTGCCACCATCGTCCTGGCATATTCACAGCCACTCCTGGTAGTGATCATTTGTGTTAGCATTTTGTGGCAGTCGGAAGACTTAGGAACACAGTGGTTCCAACTTTGATTTCTGCAATAATTCCATGGAAACACTGTGTTTTTTTAAATCTGAAAAATGGGTAGAATTATACTTAATTCAGAAACCTTTTTATAAATGAGTGCAATGCGATAATGTCTGATGTCTCCATCTGTGCATGTTCAGTTTGGGGGAAGCGTACCCCCCAGGAATGCTGTCTGCACAAAGGGGAAGGTTTCTCCCTCTGACCACAAGATCACGTGTGAATATGACAGGTGGGAGGGTGAGTTTTGTTTTGGGTTTTTTTCCCCTTAATCTTTTGCTCAATAAGAAGCTTGAGCTAATTCTCTCTTTATGTTCATTATTTGAGGATTATTTAAGGGCTAAATTAAAAACTATTTTTAAATTCTATGTATGGTGGCAAGAAGACAGACTGAATGTTGAGCTAATGCAAAACTCTTAAGCTAATGTTTTAATGTTTTAGGTATCTTTGTTAAGACCCTTTGATAAGCTCACCCGAAATTACATGATCCATTAAAAATACTTTCCATACTGCTTTTTTTAACCATACTGCTTTTTCAGCAGTTAAAAGAAACCTAAGTTAATTACTAGGCAATGAAAATGAAATCTTTAATCAATTCTAATATCATTAATATGCAATTAACATACTTTAGAGCTTTTACTACTGAGTGATTTCCTCCAAATTAGGAGGGAACAAGCAACATAAGAAATGTTTTCATGTTTTCATCATTTGTTTACATAAGTTCAAAGAAGGAACAAGATATTGATCGTAGCTTGGAAATGATTGCTGACCATTTGCAAGTATAGAGTGAATTCAATTCATAATTTTGCATATATCGAGGATAATTTAAATACCATCTTTTAGAAGTCACCGTGAGTTACAGTCAGTGGGTTCTTTTCAAGGGGATTATATAATTGAAGATCCCACTTATTCCAGAGATAGTCAGAGTCAGCTGGTCTGAAAGATTACCAGAAGAATGCAGACCAAAGCCATATCTGTTGCTTGCGAAGTTATATGGAATTTTAAGACATTTTCAGTGTTTTCCCCATGTTAGTGTTACATCCTAGCTAGTTGGCAAATCACTGAGGAATTAGTATTATTTTGCCTAATATTATGTCTTTGCCACAGTGATTGTCTCCACGTTCTTTCTCATGCATTTCATCTCCACTTTTTGTCATTTGTGAACCTATAAGCAAAATAACTACTGTTTTTATTCAGTAATACTCAACAGTGTAAAGACGGAGTCACTGCAGTTGATAACACACAATGAAGTTCAGTATTTAGAACTATTGTGGTTCAATTGCATTGCAACATAATTATTAATATAATACAAACGAACTTAACCCTTAAATGAACATGTGTAATTAGTATGTATCCAAACAAGTACAAAAATTCTTGCCTATGTTTTCTAAAGATTTACTTATACAAGAGTGCAATTTCGGTGATTGAAAAAGACTCAAGAACTTTATTCTTTTACATAAAGTGAAAATTTGGGATATGACTGATTAAAATTCTAACTTTGAGTCTCAACACTGGGATCCATAGTTGTTCTTGAAAAGATGACTCTTGCCTGCTTAGATTTTTAATGGCCTGGATGATGTTTCAAACAAATTTGAAATTACGCTTCGATTTGATCTTCATGGAGAACAAACCCTTTATTAAGCAATTTAGAGGAAACTCATTTTTGTTATGGTGATAGAATGTCATACTTCCACCGAAGTAGGATTCTAAGGAAGTCAAATTTTGCTGCAAAGCACTTCAAGTTGTTTATAGTTTTTACAAACTGAATTACTAAACCCCGGACCTCATGTTCTAAAACATATTTGCTCATTTGATGTTTTATGCTTGGCACGAGTTAATAATGAAATTCAGAAACCGCTAATTAAAACAGAGTAGGAGGCAATAATACAAAATAGTTAAGGAAAGCAACAGATCAGGTCAAACTGGGTTCTGAGTCACTACATTACTTACTCTCCTGTCTCAGTTTTATTATCTTTAAAATAGAGGTAACAATTTCTGTCTCAGGATTAATTTATGTAAGGATTAAATATGATAATGTGTATTGCTTAGTTCAGTGCCCGGTACATATTATAGTACGCACTCATTAAATGCTATCGTTACAGAAAAACTAACATTGAGAAATAATATTAGTTTTGCTCTATTTTTAGGAGTATATGCAGGAAAAATCCAAAGAAAGCGGCCAAATGTTGCGACAATTTAAGAAGACAACATTCGTTAGGATAAAGAAGGGGAGAGGGTTCCATCCATATTATTATCTCTGCCCAGGACTGTATTTCGCCCTGGACTCTGTTTACACAGACGAAGCGATATGGGAGGGCTGAGCAGTTATCCGGACAGTTGGGTCAGTCTGGCCAGTTCCTTCCCCACGTTCCTCTTAATATTAGGTTTGGGTGAGGACAAATTAGTAGTTAGTTAATTGACTCAGCTCTTTGCTTAACCTGTACAAACATACATTTCTTTTATGTACCCAGATGTCTGCTGAGAACCTTTGTCTAAACTTAAAAGGCTATTTGGGTTTATTTCTAGAAAATATTGAAAAGGTGTGATAAATTTCATTCCTCTCTGCAGACTGATGGCTAAACTTGATAAGCAAATCAGATACTGTTTTGTTCAAGGGGAGATGATTGCAGAAGAATGTGTTCCCCTGGTTTTGTAACAAAGCTCTGATTAACCTCTCAGTCTTCATATTCTTGAACTGACAGGAGGACCACACAGGCTAAAAGACTTGCCAGCTGAGTGTGGTCCACCCACCATTTACCTCCAAAACAGCTGGGGTTCACCGTATCGGTCGCAAGTACACCTTCCTCGCAACAGCTAACTGTCTTACAGAACTGTTAGGTTTAATGTATGTCCCCCCGGTCCTCTTAGAAACATCTCTACTAAATCATAAAGTCTTTCTGTGGAGGGTGACAACTTTGGTGAAGATAGCACAGTCTTCTCAACCGTAATGGCTTTTAGGCATGCATCATTATTACACTCGTGTCTGTAACGTAGAATGACGCGCTGCATGCAGTTTTATTTTCTATTAGTCTGTATATTTTGATTCTTCATAGTCTGCCTTTTCTAGCATGCTTGATTTAGGAAAGAATAAAGGGCTACATAATCATAAATTCAGATTTTCAAATGAGATAGTAATATTGTCTAATTGAAATTAAGCATTACTCAAGAGACACTGATTTTTAAGGTTTTTTTCATCACTAACATAGTCATTTAAAATACAAACCAAAAAAATGTTACCAAGGGAACATGATTTTCTGAAAGAGAATGTCAGTTAATTTATCGTACCATTTTCAAAAAGGGCTTTGTGCTTCTCACATAAAATTGGGATTGTGTACATTTAATGTTTCTAACTTGACTTTTAAAAAGATACTGGTATTTTGAAAATGCAGACTATATATATTCTTAATATCCTTTTAAGAATGTGGAGATAAAGATTGTTTTCTTTGCTTTTTCTGTTCTATTTTAATTTAACTTTTATATCCAGGTGTAGACAGAAAGTAATAACCTAGTCTGGGTGTAAACTTGATTTTCCTTATTGAGATGTATCATTGATTGAATAAGTGAACCAGGAAATTAGAAGACAGTCAAAAATGTTTGTTTACCAGTTTGCTTTTTGTAGGGAAAGTATATCAAATTATCTTAATATGATACATTGTGCTTTATCGTTCTGAAAACTCAGGAGACAGCTTACTCATATCATCGTGGGTCTTTCCAGTAAGATAGATACTAAAAGTTTTGTGTACACTAATGCAAATTAGCTAAAACAAATAGTATGTTTTGGAGAAAGTTAAAACTAGTTTTAGATTAAGGATGAGAAACTTGAGTGTTTTTTTCATTTAAAGATAAGAGCTTGTGTGTTTTACATTTTTTTATTGTTCACAGCTTTTTCTCATAAAAGTGCCAGACATTGTGCTTTTAATGGATTTTTATTTATTTTTTGTTATTTTTGTTATTTTTACTTTGAAGTGGAATGTCCATTAATGTAAATTGTATTTATTTTTATACTTTAATTTTCACTAGTTTTGCTTCTAGGCAAAAGGCAAAATAAACTTTTCATCTTAAAGGAAATCCAGTTTGATCTTTTATTTACCAAGGAAAGGACTATTAAGGGATAGATATTAAAAAGTATCTGGCCCAAACGTTAATACTGTAATATGATCTTTTTTTTACAATTAAATGCCCCATGAAAGGTATATCCCACTATTTAATATGTAACCTACACCAGTGCTTATTCCAGCATTAGATTTTGCATGAGTTGGGCTTTTCAGAAGGCAGAAGGTTCACTACTGCTGGAACTGTCTTGGCTTATTAAGAGCTAGAAGTCTGCGAAGGAGCCAATGGGAGAGAATGCTGAGGCTGAAGCGCACATCAAAGCTGCATTCACACGGCTCTAAGAGTGCAGCTCTTACTACTGCTTCATAGGCTCCTGTGGGAGATTAGCCCCTCACTTACCCGTGCCACCCTTTAACTCTTGTGCATTTCATGTGTTGAGAATAATGGCGATGACTGGAAACTGCTTATTACTCATACTGGAGATGAAGAGCATTTCTATCGGGTGTCACTGTTCCATGAACAGCCACAGGCAACCCCTCCACCTCCTGAAAAGTAATAGTTATAAAAAAACAAGCAAATAGAGTTGGAATGCCTTATCTCTAAGGGACCACAGTGGGCATCCTTACAGGTTATAAAAGTAATTTTAGCAAACAAAGGAGACTTTAGTTGTTGAATACAGCAAATCGAACTGGAAAATGGTGCTGTGGTCTCACGTCCTTGATCAGGGTCTAAAGACAGCTCTGAGGGCAAAAATGGTGTCCAGCCACAATTAGACAACAAGAAAATACTACCTTTTCACTTACTTATGTAATTAGTGCCTTTTTGGGTCAGATTCTCTGTGACTCAAGTCTTCAGTTTCTTGAGGTGATTGGCAAAGTTGCCACCTAAACTGTGCTTTTGCTTCTCAGCCTGTGCTGGGGGGAAATCCCTTATTCACACTTTCCATGAGTTTTAACAACCTGTTTCAGGGTTCCTCGCATTGTCTGTATAATACACGTGACTACGGTTGACCATGCGCTGGCGTCACATCGCACGCAGGCCTCCTCCGCCTGCAGTGGCCAGTCCCTCTGCTTACCTCTCACGGGGCTGTCGTTATACGTGCAGAAGCCCAGGCCCCGCCCCAGGCCTGAGTCAGAACCTGCATTTTTTAACCAGATGCCCAGGAGAGTCCGCGCTTCCAAGCCTGAGAAGCACCGCTTTAGGATGCGTCGCGTGGTAGGCTGTCGTGGAAAGAAAAGCTGCAAACACGAGGGTCACACAAGGGACAGTCTGATTCTTTTGCCTGCCTAATGATTCACCTCTTCAACCCGGTGCTGGCTATTTGCCGGGCATTTTATAATCATCTCCCTTCACCTTAACGCCCTTATTACCCTAACTTCACAGATGAAGAGACCTGCCGAGTTTCATCAAAGGGTTGAGAGGATATTCTGTGGCCTTTTCCTGAGGCAAGGGAAAAATGGGCGAGCCAGACAGATCTCGTGATTAACCAACAGTCCAGCCCCCGCTTGGGGCATTTTCTAGCCTTGGGCAGTTCACTTCCGATTTCTCCATAGTAAGTGTTTTTTTATTTCTGGGGTTTGCAGTGAGGAGTCAAGATCGGATGCAAAGTGCCCAGCACAGTGCCGGACACACATGGTAAGCATTTACTAAATGGTAAATGTTAGCAAGGCATTCTGGGATTTTTGTTTTTAAAGCCGATAAAACACTAGAATACATAAGTTCCGTGGTCGAAAGGAATGAAGGTGGATACCTTCATAAAAACGTACAGCTTTGCCAAGTGGGGTGAAACGCTAACCCCAGTTTCCCCTTGTGGTTTAAGTTCCAGTTGAAGGCTGTCGTGCTGGGACCTAGGGCAGCCTTTAGTGACCCAGGTTGTCTGTCCTGGGAAGCGGACACCGCCAAGTGCCTAACCCTCAAAGCACCAACCAAGGGGAAAGGTTGGCTTGGGGGCGGAGGGGGGCGTGGCTTGCCCAACACAAACAGCTCATTAGTGGTAAAACCACTGGCAGGTCGAACCTAAGACCCTTCCCTCCGCCTTCTTCCCACCCCGACAGTTACTGTCATTTAGTCTGGAGTCACCTCCCGCCCCAGAGGACGCAGGTGGGCTAGAAAAACCCACTGCCCTTCACAATCATGGCGTCTGGGCAGAGCGCGCCTGCGCTCTGCGGGTGTGGGAGGGACCGCCCACAATCATGGCTCCAGGAAATGGCGCGCCTGCGCTCTGCGAGGTGGGCGACCGCCCACAATCACGGCGCCAGGGAACGGCGCGCATGCGCTCTGCAGCGCGGGCGACTGCCCCTCACAACCATGGCGGCCTGGGCGGGGCGGGGCGGTGTCTGGAAGGAAGCAAAGGGCCGGCGGCCCCAGAACAAGCGGTCACGTGCCTGGAAAGATGGCTGTCTTTCCGTGGTAAGGTGGGAGCGGCCGGTGGGCTTTGGGAAAGGGTTGCCCTTGTCTCTGGGTCTCTGTCTCGGTGTACGTCCCTGCGAGTGTGTGTGTGTGTGTGTGTGTGTGTGTGAATGAAGTGCTCTCTGTGTTGGGTGCTGGTGGAGTCTCACCCCATCCCCGGGCTGTCTTGACGGAGAGGAGCTCCCTGTAGCCGGGCCGGCGGGATCTGGGCTCTCTTCCCCGCTCCCCTAGAGAAAACTCCAGCTCCAGCTCCCGCTTTCCCAGGAGGGTTGGTGCGGGTTCTCGGGGCGCTGGATGCAGAGCAGGGCTCACTCAGTTCTGAGTCTGGACGGCTCGGGAGACCTGGCTGTTCCCTGAGCTCCTCAGTTCATCGAGAGGAGACCGGCTTTTCTCATCTGTCAAAAGGCTTACATTTGGATGAGGCACAGCCTCAGCTGGGTGCTCGCGGAAGGCTTCAGAGAGGCAGAGTCTAAAAGGAGGTTTTGCAGGATGTGTAGGAGTTCACCATGCAGAAATGGATGGCACCAGCGAAGGCTGACAGGCCTGGCCGGGCTCTTGTGGCTGGCGTTGCTGGGAGTGACCAGAGCTTCCGGCCCCCACGGGTGCTCGGAGTGCGTGGAGAACGCAAGCAAGTTGTGATGGGGATAGTGGAAATATTTGGAGATGTGATGAGCTCTCCCCTGGGTCTCAAAAAGGGAGATAATTTTCTGAGCTTTATCTCCAAATGTCGTGTAGTGGTTTACACTGAAGGAGTGAGGGAGCAAATGAAAGAATCTACGGCCCTAGACTTGAGGAAAAATCAGATACCAGGCGTAGCACGGAGACACTGCGGCGTGGGCTCCAGACCACTGCCGTAAAGCGAGTCAATCAACATTTGCTGGCAGAGGGCTTTGCCTTCAGCTTGTAAAAAAGGCAACACGTGAATGGCAGTCAAGCCAAGCGCGGTAAAAAGGAGACGTGCTTGTACAACCTGGTTTACTGCTCGATTCACAGCTGTGTTCCCTTCACCTGGCGGCCTCGAAAGGCCTCTTCTTTTGACCCTGGGAAGCAGGGTTGGATGTCCCTGAGCCCTTCTTCGCCATGTCCTTTGAGCGAGTCCTGCCCATCAGCTCTTAGGGAATCACTGAGGCGTCAACACCAAAACCATGAGAAACACTGGCTTCAGGGATCTGGAATTTTGTCATCAAAACCCAGGAAGATGGTTCTCTTTGTCTCTGCCGCCCAGTACCTTTTTACCTTTGGTGTTTTCACTTTAAATTACAGAGAGGTGCCCTAACGCCTTTTCCCATCTGAGGTCTCCGGAGTTCCTAGTCTGGCTGGGCCCGTGACATTCCTTTGTGTTGGTGTGGCACACGGTCACCATTCGGTTTCCCTACCCGACTTGTTGCTCCTTGAGTGAAAGGGACTGAGTTTTAACCATCACGGGATCCCCAGTGCCTGGCGTGGAGCTTGGCAGATAGCAGGTGCTCAGTAAAAATTATGGCGTGAAGGAGGACACCGAGGCCCAGAGGAGAAGAGTGTTTCTGTCATTGTATTTGACACATACGGTATCAGCCCTTTATTTCGTGCCAGGCACTGTGCTGAGAGCGTAACGTGCAGCGTCTCCACTGACCCTCATAACAACCCCGATTTTCAGATGAGGAAGTGGAGGCAGAAGGATGAAGCAGTTGACTTAGTCATAGAGCCCGCAAGGGACACCGAGATTGGCAGCCCAGAGCCTAGGAACTTACTCATCGTCATCAGCTGGACCTTCACTCCTGGGCCGCGGTTCCTGGGTTGCAGGCTCCCCAAACCCCGCTGTGTTGTCTTGGGTCTCCCCAGGATATCTCTTTCCTCACACTTTTTGTTTTCGCGGATGTATTTTGACCTGGCCTAATGCGTGACATGTCCAGGACACCGTGCCTCGCATTCCATGTTTCCTCTTGTGGTAACAGCACCCTTAAAAATGCCACCCTTTGGATTCGGAGTTTCTATATCGTGTTTAGATTTTACTTGGGGGGGGGGGCGGTGGGGAGTGGCTGATGCATTGTATTGTGGGAGAACAGAAGTGTGTGGCCATATTGTCATTGTGACTTAAAAAAAAAATCATTTCAAGAATGAAAATAGCTGACAAAAAACATTTAGTGGGTTTCGGCATTTCCACGATGAGGAGCTTAATCTGGTAACTGGTAGTGGAATTTCTACGTATCCATATTCTCAGGTGTAAATAATTTAAAAACGGAGCTGTCAGCCTTTAATGTGCATGTAAATTACATGGAGATTTTGTTAAAATGCAGCTCCTGATTCTGTACGTCCCGGGTTTTTAGACACTACCCAGATGATGCCCTTGCTAGGGAGGGATGCGGGGACCAGAGGCTAGACCCAGCCAGGAGTGGAGGAGTGAAAGGCTGGTCTTTTCTCTGAAGCAACTGCCAAGGAGCCAGAGGAGCCTTTTGCATTGCTGGGGGCCGAGATGATTGGGGGGCGGGGAGAGTGGGTGGGTACCAACCAGCTCTGTCAGCCCGAAAAAGAATTTTTGAGAAAATGCCCACTAGAGGTCGCTGTGAGCCTTGCCAAAGACCCAAGCGTTGAGGAAAAGGCTTTAACATCTCAGACTGCAGGGAATGGTAAGGAGCAGAGAGCAAATTTGAGGGACTAATGGGAGAAGTGATAGAAAAATAAAAATACAGAGGTGTGGCCTGACTTTCAGGAAGGATAAACGTATTCTTTTTTTAAAAGGTTTTTCCAGAACAGTGTTTATTTTCCTAAGAATTCACTCCCCACAAACTGAAAATGATTTCAAAGCTTGGTCCTTAAAAAAAAAAAGTGGACAATTAATTGCTTACTTTTTCAAGTTCTCAAGATGACTTATGGGTGATATGTAGAACTTTTGAATCCCAGAGTTGTGCTGCCTCAGTTTGCCTCCGTCTCTGTCACTTGTTGCTGTCACCTGACAAGCTACCAATACTAACAACAGCCTCAGCTTATCTGCAAATGGGCATAATCATAGCACCTACCTCCTGGGGCTGATTAAATGAGAAAATGGAGGTGAAGGGCTTGGCCCAGATCCTGGTATACAGTAAGCACATAATAAATGAGAACCTTTATTACACTGTTCCGATATAGTTCTTTTCTCAGCTATCGATTGATTTGTTAATTTTAGGGATGAAAACACATTTGCAACTGAATTTCAGGTCAGACGACATTTCTACTGATCCTATTAAATTAACCTTTCAAAATTCTATTGATAAAGTTCAGAGTGACCTGAAAGGAGGAGAACTGTGATTTGGTTTTTAAAACTTCATCCTGGCTGTCGATGGCTAATATTCCAGTGTATTCTTAGGGTTTTACTTGTTGT